GGGGTGTCCACATGAGGCCTGCGTGAGGCGGGAGTTGATGGGCTAGGTCGCACTAAGTCTGTCTGACTCTGGTTCTGCCGCCACCATCTGCTCTGTAGCCCAAGCCTATGCCACATTCATCAGAAATGCTTTGTATTTCAATTTCAGATCAGGGTTTAGATTTTTCTAAACCAAAAGTGAATTGAAAATGGCACAATTTATAAGCCACAAGACAACTTTCACTTTTATTATCTGTGGCCACAATTATTTGTTGACCCCTGTCTCTTCCACTGTCTGAGTCACTAATCACTACTACTCCACAAGGCGGAGATAGCTCATCGGAAAATAAGTCAGAGAGATCGCTTTGCCTTCAACCGCTTTTGTCCTTGAAACATATCCCCCTCTACTAACTTCCTGCCAGGTACATAGAGAGCTGGAAGGAGCAAAGTTTATTTTCTTTTGGAGTAGGGACCCTAGCCAGTCAGGTCAAGTTACTGAATACCTAGCATACATTCCGAAGATTTATTATGCAGTATTCATTGCAGTTGCGTAGCGCCAGAGCTAGGTATAGTGTGTTACAACCTAACGTGTCCTAAAATCCTGATATCATGCGACCGGTCTGCCACGTTTAAAAGCGAAAAGCATGATATCATGCGTCAGGTCTGCAAAGTGTTAATATCGGGTTAGTAGTACTTCTGTTGCTGGCATATTGGCATGACCAACCATGTGGAGTATTACAGCCAGATGGAGTGTGTTAAATGAAGAAATAATAGGAACGTTGTGGTGAAAATGTTATATATTTATTATCTGTTGAGATATTAAACTGAGTTTCGGTTTGAATGGTTAAGTGATGCTTCCTTGGGAAGCTGTGATATGGGGACTACATACAGTTGCTGTGTTTGTAATGATTGCCAAACTTATGATATTGCTGATGAATATAGGACTCTGATTTGGTGAGTCGTATCTGTATACAAAACTTCTCTGTAACTTGGTTTTGTACACAGATTAACAAAGTTGTGCAATGTTATTGTTAGCTAATAAATAGAAATTTGTGTCTTCATGTTTCTCATGAATTCCAGGAGGTGAATTTCTCATAGCAGTTATTTTTATTTATAAGTTAGCCATCC